GGGGGGAAGGCAAGGGGGGGATGTTTACTTCTTTAAAGATGTGATCTACTTAAGATATCATTGCCCCTGTGTCTCAAACTCGGTATCGCTGCCAGCTGGCTGTGTGCTGAGCTGAAGGCCCTACTGTAGATGAGTATTTTCTAACTCCAAAACACAACAGTCATTTTCTTTGTAACAGTTTAAGTAAAAGATGTTACTTCTGTTGGAAGTACTTAGTTATTTTAACCAGCGTGTTTGAAGACCGTGAATGCTGGAGGTTCAGGTATTTGAATACCAATTAATGCATCTTTCTAGGACATTTGGGCTTTGTCACCTCAAAAGTTTTTCTTAGAGCTGTTTCTGTTAGGAATACAAAACAACCCCTGAAGTACTAAATCTGTCAAGACCTTTTGGTCTGGATCTTTGTTTGACTTTTCCTGCTTTGGCTTTTTTCAGTTTGTTTAGCAGGACAGATAGTTCAGAAATGGCAAAAGTCTTCTTACAAGGAGAGTTTAAACAACTTGAAAGTAAACCTCGAAGGAGAGAAAAGCAAAAGTGTAAAGTCTGGAAGTCAGGGTATCAAAAAATGTAAACCACCAGCTTCTGTGGGCCTTTGTCCCTCTACTGAACATGGTCAGAGCAAAAACCTTATGGAATTTGAGAACATATGAGTGACGTTAACAGACGCCACTCAAGAAAATTACTGAAATTTGAGAAATGAAGGTGTTGGACTTAAAGCTACTCTTTTGAAGCAGTTAGCTGGGAATAAGGATTCTGCATCAGACCAACGAGGTTATTTGTTATTAGCCCTCTGAGGTGCCTCTCACCAACATGCCTTTAATGGGCAAGTGAATTTAAGTACAATCAAGGGATTAAAACTTGCAGTAGCGTGGCAGTTTCAGATTCAAGACAAAACCAGAAGAATTGACAGAACGGCTGTCACTTGCCGCTTAATTCTATTTCTCAGAACTTTTTTGCCTCATTTTGATGATCCAAGGAGAATATCTACTTTTTCTCTGCATCTGGTAATTTTAATAGCTTTCCTTTGACAATTGAAAGTTCTTGTCATGTAGTGATTAATTATTGCATAATCAAGAGAGCTTGTCCTTCACAAATCATCATAATTTGCCGTATTTCTGGGGAGGCAAGTCAACATTTTGCCGTGGTTCATAAGGTGGTACTCTCGCTGACTTCTCAGTTACTCCCATGACTGCTGTGTAAGTACCACCTCCAGTGTTTTGAGTGTCCTGTCCCTGAAACTCAGCTCGGCTGTACGACACACAATTGCTATGGATTGCTTGTCTCTTCGCGGTATATATTGCATAAAGTAACGTCTGCCATGAGTGCGGACCAGCTGATTTTGTTGTAGAACAAACCAAAACAAGTGGATGCCGTCAGTGGGCTTACCTGGCTGTTAAATGTTTCGGTTGATACAATTGAAATTCTGCTAATACCTCACTGCTGATTTCGGTTAACTATAACAGAGCACTTAACGCCTTTTCTCTTTTTTTCATTTTTGAAGAGGAAGATTATTTTTGCGTTTTTCTCAAAAAGTGGCGATGAAATAAGGTTAAGAGTAAAAAAGAAATATGAGTAAGCATATTGTTTCCCATGGGCAATCAAAAAAGTACAAAATAAATATCTAGATGTTTGCAATGTGGTAGATGCGCTAAGCTAATTTATCTTGTATAACTGGAGTCGTAACTGCGTGATTAAATTCAATTTCAACCCAAGTGGGTTCATTAATACTTACATACCAGATTGAAAATACTTTTTTTTTTTCTTTCTTCCAAATTTTATTTCGGGAAGATGGTTAAAGGCTTTCCTGAATCAACTAGCACCAAGTAGACTATATTTCAAAGGATGTGAAGGAATAAATAATGATGGGAAATCATAAGCATTGAGAAGGAGAATTTATCTCCTCAGAGTAACCATGAACTGCAACTTTTCTTTTTTGGCTGATCGTTGAAGTAGCAGATTTTTAAAGAATGTGAATGCATTATTAGGGGAATGCTGTGCTTATACAGTATATTATATTAGGGGAATACTGTGCTCAAGACACGTTGTCCTCATCCAGTGAAAGGGAGGAAATACTTAAAGGATAAATAAATACCTTTTATTTTGATTCCAATGCAAGGATTGTAATTTTGGAGGAGTAATAGTTGTTTGTACCAGAATTTATAAATAGGTTTTGCCTTTCCTTTTTGGAAAGGAGGGCTCCAGATGCACTTCTTATTTGTGCATGTACCTTCTTTTCTTGTCATCTTTTCAAATGCTTGTCAAACATGGCAACTTCTACCCATTTTGAGAGAATCTTCCCTTTTTGCCTTTTTGCTGTTTTTCTGTACCTCAAATAAATGAAGGATCTTTGTGTGATTGCCCTGGAATTGTTTCTTTTTAATGTCTGGAAAAGTTTTAAACCCTAAATATTTCAGTTTATCGCATGCTGTTAAAAACTCACATTGTTGACACCGAAGGAACTGCAAGTATTTTAACAGGAATTGTTATTTCTTTCAGCTTTCTCAAGCCAAGGCAGGAAAGCTAAACCCACACGTCCACGTAGAGTATGAATGGAATCTTCGGCAGGAGGAAATTGATGAAAGTGATGATGACTTGGATGATAAGGTAAGCATGAAATACGGCCTTCCACAAAAACTGCCAAAATTTCTGTTCTGTGGGAATAACTAGAAGTTAGAGACTCACTTTAATCTTTTTTTCCTTGCAGATTTTTTGGGGGAATAAAAGCTAGGTTTTAGGCCTGTATTAAAGACGGCCAAAGTGCTTTTTGAATACACTTTGTCAACCTGGTTATTACAGACTTGATTTTCAGAAGTTTTGCTTTTACAAGACATACAATATAATATAAATCAGTAAATGTAGATTACTTTGCAGCCATTTCATCCCCTTCTGAAGTCTAGGTTGTTAATTTTTAGCTGGAGGAAATCCAAAGCTTACATACGTATTTTTTCCATAAATTAATTAAAAACCTAGTTGAATCAATAACTATTTTTCAAAAACTGTGCTGTGGACTTTATTCCTGATTAGAAAAAAAAAGAAGTAATGGAAAGACAAAACTTGAGGGCATAGGATAATTGCCATCCTAGAGCATGTGAAAACTTAGCCTCAGTGTCCTACTTTAGCAAGTCAGTTAATTACTTTGTGCTCTGTTTCTGTAATAAATGGGAATACACCTCTCCTGTTTCATCTGGGTGCTGTAGAAAGAAATGTGGTCAACTTTTCATTTTCTGTGACGCTTGGGACTGAAAAATTCAGAAACCCAAATAATTTACATATCCTCAAGGGCAGTAGAGAACAAAACGATTATCTGTGCAGGAGCCTCAGGAGGATGAGTAATGCTGCATCGGAGGTAATAGGCTGCCTGAACCAGAGCTGCAGTGAAACGTATCGTGCTCCACATGCAGCTATTAATATACAGCAGTCAAAAACTGCTGTGCAAAATTTCTTCAGAGGGCAATTATATACGTTTAAAAGGAGAGATGTGCCACTGAATATGTTGCTAGTTCAGTCAGCAAATAAATCTGAAGTGTCAGAAGTGGTTATTTTGGTTTTAATATGCATCAGTGGGGTAATAAACTTGGTCTTTGGGGATAACTGTCTGGTCTGAGTAAAGAGCTATTTGAACTGAAAATTACTCTCACATTCTAAAAACTTTACTAGGCTTTTATTAATATATTATTATTCTGTGTCTACTGCTTTAAGAATAAATCTAACTTTATGTATGTGATGATTTGTTAATGCTACAATCTTTATCTTTCAGTTACAGAGGAGAGGATCTTTCAGGTTGGATCTCTGAGAAAGGGAGGAATGTAGGCTTATTTGTCCAATAGAAAGAGAAGTTATGCTCATGTTCACTAGAATGTGTTCTGTTATATACTTCCCCAAACATATTAACAATATTTAGTATTTAGATGGCTGTATAATACATTTATTTTTCTATTCACAGCCTAGTCCTATAAAGAAAGAAAGATCTCCAAGACCCCAAAGTTTTTGTCACTCTTCGAGCATTTCTCCCCAAGACAAAATGACTCATCCTGCGTTTAGCACTCCTAGAGACAAGCAAAGACTCTCCTATGGCGCTTTTACCAATCAGATTTTTGCTTCTGCGAGCACGGATTCGCCCACCTCTCCAACTGCAGACGCTCCTCCTCTTCCTCCTAGAAATGCTGGCAAAGGTAAGTCTGTCTTCAAGCTACACTTGCAAGCGGTAATTTTTCCACAGTTGTCCTTCCTTTATCCAGGTGCATTACAGTGTTTCAAGACGTAGTGTGGTTTTCTTACTACGCTGATGCGGTAGTGCGGTATAATGCTGGTTCAAAACAAAACCAAAAAAACCCCAAACAAAACAGGCGGGGGGTAAACCACAACACTTTGCCATGGCCTTAGAACAGTGTACGTGAATGGGTGAAAAAGATCAAGTAGTACTCTGCTAAATAAAAGTTGGTTCGTTTTATATAGAAATTCTGTTCCTATTTGGAGATGCATTTTTAAGCCTTTACAGTCACAGAAATACAAGTGTTTTGGAAAAAGGCTGGTGGTGCATCGTGCTGTACAGTGATGTGCTGTGTAGTGTCTGGCAGAGAGGGCGAAGAAACGAAGCTTTGGAGGAGAGGGGGGTGCAGGACGATGCCCCCTCCTTGCAGTCAGACAGTGAGCAAAAAGAAAAATACCAGAATGACCTGTGAAGTGCTAAGCAGGCTGGATATTAAAGTTACTTCCCTCTCAGTGCATCAAGACTCCCCTCCTCCATTTTGGTAAGTGCTAGAGGGGTGTAAAGAATGGCAGAGAAAATACCAAGCCTTTAGCCAGATAGTTAACAAATCACCCACTGAAGATCTACACTGAACATCACCCGTTTTACTCCTGTAGAATTATCCCTAAGGAAGGTTTGTGCTACAGTTCAATCAGTTTTGCCGTCTACATTTAGTTGAAACGAATGAGATGCTTTTTCTTCTCGGTAATAGTAGACACTCTTGGTAGTGCTTGAAAGGGAAGAGAACTTATTTCTGTATGAGACTTACTCTTGCAGCTGTAGTGGGTGGTGGTTCTTTGACCTAGATGGCTATAAACTTCAAGTTTTAGAGGGTGGATTTATGGAACAAAGGCTGTTACTTCAGTGGTTATGCTGAAGGATGCTCCCATTTTTTAGCATTGCTGTAACTTCATATTTCATTTCCTCTGTTAACTTTGTTTTAAAGAACAGCGAAGAATTGCTTACACTAAAATGTGAAAGAATAAAAGGGACAGGACAGTCTGTTGGCATCGGATATCTGCTTTTATACATGGTTCAGATGCTGTGCTTAGGAGCTACTGTTCCCCATCAGTCTTTGTCGTGTACTGGCCACAATGAATTCCTTGGCTCTCTTTTTTACATAGGTTTGTTTGCCATTAAGAGGCAAAGTGATTTTGTCAGGGTATGCGTTTTCACAGTCTGAGTTTCTTTATATCATTTTTGTTTGGGACGCATTTGTTCTTCTTGTGACTTCCCTTTGTTGACCTTCCTGTTGGCATTACATTTTTCTGACTTTTTCCTTCCTCTCCATCACCTTTTTTACATGTCTAAGACTCTGTGACTGATAGTCCGTTGTCAGACACAGTGTGTTGCCTTAGGTGTTCCTTCAGTCTGCCCTAGGATAACTTTTTTCTTTTGTCATGAAGTTGCAAGACTTGGAAACTAATCATGAATCCCATTTCCTGAAGAAGGTTAAGGAGCTTGTGTCTTGTATCTGTCTGTACAGTGCTTAGTATGTTGTCAGCTTCCAGTGGATTATAATGAACGTTATTTCTTTGTCATTAAATAGTGTGGCTGTCATACAGACTTATTCAGAAAATTGTCTTTTTCTCCGGTAAGAATATTTACATGTGTATTTCGTTCGAAGTATGTGTCCACACTTCAGAACTGTAAGGCATTCTCCTAGGTGTTCCTGCAAACTCCTAGATGAGTGAATCAACACAACACCAAAGCTGCTCAGGAAGAAAAGAAACATCGAGTTCTTGTGTATTTTCATGTCAAGGGTTAGACAGAAGAAATCTTTATTTATAATAAAACAAAATAGTGTGATATTATCACAAAACACAGAGAACTGTTGCCTTCTAATATAACATTAACTGCTGCCTCATCAGAGTGGGAAACGCCAGGTTCACGGTGTAGGTCTGAGTGAGAGGTTCAATGGCGCTACTGTTACGTTACAGTCACTAGGCTTCTCGGCTTCAAACATGCCAACATTTACAGTCTGTGAGTGATGCTGGGTTTGGGTTGATTTCCATTCAACAATATTGTAAAATATTTAACCAGTTTTAAAAGTTTCCATTAAATACATGCCCGTGTTACAGGAATAACTTATGACTCGAAAGGGCAGGGGGACAAAGTGACCAATGCATAGAGCGTTCATCAGTGTGGAAAAGTCGCTCTAGACACATCATTGCAGATGCACTTCCACTTCATTATTAACTGTGCTACACCTTGTTATCTTCCCCTGCTCCCAGCTCCCAAACGGATTGTTTAAAAGAAAAAGAAGCAAAGACTCTCCACTTCCATAAGACACTGGTGACACATCTGAATTTTGAAATAGTCTGAGATAATTTTGTTTCTGTAGGAAAAAATAATCCTTTAGAATTAACTTGCTCTTTTGAGATTAGTAGTAATAATGTATATCCCTTACATCAAAGTTTAACATACAAGCTTACTTAGCAAATCCTTTTTTTGTTAGAAAAGTTCATTTTAATAGCTACCTATTTGATTTAAGATTATATGAAAACATAGTATTATATTTTGCACCAAGTTCCCTAAACAGCAAAAGTAAGAAGAGCATTGAATCTGTAATTAAATTTAAGCTTACCTTTGCCCCTGCCCTGCTGTGAGGCCCGAGCAGATACCATGGGACGCTGCTAGAGCATGGAGACGCTCTGTAGGGAGTGGATAGCTGGTGGGATCTGTATTTTCAGAGGAGGAAGATTTCAATTAAAATTCCATGTTTCTTTTCCAAAACCTGTTGTGTATTTTAACAAATACACCTCCCTTTAGCCCTCTGTAAGCTGGCTTCATTTGCCAGTGAAGTTCCTTAGTATCAAGGTTCCATGGCGTTTGCTGAGATGCCGCAGTGGACTGGAAGCCATCAGGTCTGAACTTTGTGTTGGGGAGAGAAGGTAAGTTGAGAGCAATTTACATAACGCACACCACTCTTGCCCATGTTTTTCAGTGGATATGGTGCCTAAAAATTAGTTTGATTCATCATTAAAATAGTATAGGTACAATTGTTGGAGGACATGGATGTGGGGATTTTTTTTTTTTAAGTTTCTCCGTGCATCGCTGCGATGTAAATGCTGATTTTCCAGTTGATAACTCTTCAAAATATTCTTAAAAATGCTGGAACCTTAGTATATTCTACTCTAAACCAGTTCATTTGTGGTAACACCTTACTTTTTGCCATCTCTGCTACAGATGTTAGTTAATCCCAATAGAATGAGAAGTACAGAATGAGCGCCGTAGGTGCGTAAGCCAACCACTGTATGCCTTTTCCTGTAGTTTATCTTATTCAGGTTCAACTTGTGTCGACAGTCAAGTCTTTAGTCTGTAGCATTCTGAAAAAAACCCATCTTTTTCATTAGTCTTTCCAGCTTACTTCCGCATGATGGCTGCAGACAGCTAGCGGGTCTTCTGTCTGTTTTACAAAAAGCTTTAAAAAAAAATATTGAAGAGGTTGCATGACTCAGCACAGTCGCTAAATCAACTTTTGCACGACCTTCATTGCCAAGCCAGTGTGAGGGCAGTGTTGCTAACTAGTTTTGTAGAAACGTTGGGCAATCTAAGCCAGGTTTCCTGAATTTTAAAGCTGAAAGCTAATTGTTTTTTAACGGTCCTGCCTATTTCTCTCATATAGGATGAACGTTAGAGGTCTGGGATCAGTTTTTTGGCATGAAGTTAAGTTTGTATCTTCAGTGCTTACGAGTTTGCATATTTTACACTCTCTTTAACAGCTCTAGTGTTAGGTACGTAAACCCAAAGCCACTTGTGGTTCCAGTCCGCTGCTACTGCAGATGCCATGTCATATAATCTGCTTCCTCGTTTGATCAGACTCCATTTCGAACCAAATTAGCTTATTTGCATTTACGAGTGACTTCTGGAAGTTGTGTGACTGCATTGCTCAGAGGCTTAGAAATCTTCTCAAGTCCACTACCTGTTCATGTACCAACGTTGTCATTTGTTGGTGATTTTTTTCTGTCACTGGTGCCGGTATCAAGGCACTACCTGGGGAGCGCTCATACAGGTCTCCATTTCTGCTTTGTTACACTAAACAAACCAAGCGTATTTCACCTTTTCTGACAGAAGAGTATTTTCATTCTCCTGTCGTTCAAGTTGTCCTTTCATCCTACTAGCCCCTCTCTGTACCTTTGCTGTTTCAATCAGCTTTCTTAAATACAAGTGACTGGAAGGGTAGGGACAGCGTTGAAACTTTGCTGTTTCTGCTGGAAATACTACATCAAAACATCCTTTCTTCCTATTTATTTTTCGTGGTTGTGTCATACTATGGCATATCAGGCATTACACAGTCTTTACTATCATTTTCAACCGGGGTCCTTAATTTATAGCACAAACGTTTCCTTAGTGTTGAATTTTAACGTTATCCATAATACTGTTGTATTTAATCTCATTTCCGTTACCTGAGCGTGTGAGGTCATCCAGTTTCTTCTGTTTTTTTTTCTGAATGCTTTCAGGATTCTATAGTTCTCTTGCATATACTTGAAGACTTAATTTTTTAAATAGTCTTATAAATGTGTTGTACATTTTGGTTAAGTAATACTAGTTATGCCACTCAAACTCTGTAATTTTTGGTACAATAATGGGGAAGGAAGGTTAACTGACAACTGTTGGTTTCACATTTTTTTATATATTTGTGCATCAACCCAAAATATAACATTCTTTTATATGAATTTTGGCTCTTTTTTTAAACAGGACTTTTTTTAGCATTGATTATAGAATGTACTGCAAATGCTAATGTGGATCAACCTATATGCTTAGCTTTCTTATTCAGAGTGATCACGATCATTTTTTCTTTAATTATGCTCTTATTTTCAGTACTGAAAATACATGACCTGAAGGAGGAGAAACTGAAGAAGGCTTTTAATAATATATGTGCAAAAATATCACTCATAAGAACTTTAAAAATAAGAATAACAACACTTGTTAATGAAAATACCATTTTTAATATAAACTTGCTTTCCTTTGCAGTACCTGTTCTGCCATTAACTGGAATACTGGTTCTTCCGTATCTCTCATTAAGTGGTAATAAAAAAAATACAAATGTGAGGTTTTTACACACTAAACCCACCATTTCTTGAGTGGATGGTAACAGCTTTGCATGGTTTCACAAGTACACAAATTAATGGATCCTGTACTAACTGCACAAAAGCTGAAGGGCAATGGCACTATTAATTGCAGACCAGTTATTTACCTTAGTACAATAAATTTGACATTATTTGGTCTATTTACACATGAAAGCATGATCCTTGTAATATGAAAAAGTGATAAAAGATGACAACAGCTTGTGCTGAAAGCAGCTGTGCTCCCCAGCTAACTGAAGAAAAGAGAGCTCAAAGGAAGGCAAATTTAAAAAATTTTAGGTCAAGATTTCATTTTTTTTTGCTGGTGTGAGGGAAAATGTTGCTTATGAAATACGAACTTCACAACTATGTGAGAAATCGTCATTAAGATCCGACTGTGGGGAAGGAATGGTTGGCTTACTTGCTGCCTTGTTAGAATCACAAAATATCTTTGATGTAGAAAAATAACTGCTCTGGTTATTGCTTAAAAATACCTAGCTAGCCTCGTATAATTAAAAAAATCACATAGCACTTGTTTTGATATTTGTTTATATATATATAGTAAGACAAAGTATTTATAATAATTTTACTGACGCTTCACTCATCGTCAGATCTTTGTATTGCTTCACCAGTTGTTTCCATAAACTGATTTACATTCCACAGCGTTGCCCACGTTTGCTTTATTCAAAGCGTGATCTGACTTCATACCTCTTTCTGAAAAGAAGTTTTGAAGTTTTCCTTTATTTTCTGTTCATTTGGAAGCAAGTTATTTTGTATTTCAGCCATCTAAAGCATTAGTGTATGACTTCTACAGTCATACTTATTCCTTCCGTGACATTAACGTCGGAACAAAGGCTAGGAGTCTGAAAAGATGCACTGGTTTTAGTACCTTGACACCTTTTCCCTGTAACTGTTGTACGCCGTGTGAACTCTTGACGGCTGTGAAGGGATAATGTTTTTCAGCTCTGCTGTGGTGTCTGGAGATACACTGTTAGTGTGAAATATAAAAAAATATATATATCCATATACCCACCTTGAAAGAGTTTTTAATCCTACTAAATTTTATTTTTGTGGAGAGAGATTCTCCATTTTATTGGTGATAAATGTCCAAATTTTACTGAAGTTGTATTTTTGTGATAAGCGCCCAATACTATTTCAAGGCATTTCCTCCACTTTTTTTTTTTTTTTTTTCCTTTAAGCCAAGTTTGAACTATTTGTCGCTTGTGGCGGGGCTGGAGACCGCGTTGGCTGGAGCGGTGAGGTGTGGTGCAGTACAAAGAGGAGGACAGTAGGTGGTAGGGCAGAACCTCTGCCGCGTTGGCCATTCCCACTTGCAGACGTTTTGGAAGCGTGCAACTCCTTTTCGAGTCTTGCTGGCAGAAACATTTCAGTGCATGGTTTAAATTAGCTTGCTTTCTTCAACTCATGGTAGAAATTAAAATGAGAAAGGATACAAATTGGGGAATAATCTTAGTAATTTGCAGTAACTTTTGACTGCTTTTTAGTTAATGGTTTTGTGAACTTGGAAGTAAATTGAGGGGAACAATCACAAAATAGATAATTTGGTTTACAGGAATAAGCAAGTAATGGAAAGCCAGGCCCAAAATACCTGCTGGGGTTGTGGTTGAGAGATTCTCCTGAGCAGCAAAAGGCCTTCCAGGCTTGAATCTGGAAGAGAATAGATGGAATCATTAACTCATTATGGGCAGTTTCATTAATCTTTTCTTTGGGGTTAAGAAGAAAGAGGGAGGTCGCCCGCTGAAAGAATCTGGCAAACCCACACAGCTTATAGGATAATTGATGTTACTTTTTAAATGTTTAGTATTTCACCTAAGGAATTGTAGCAAAGATTATTCTTCACTGATTTTAATACTTTTATGATATATAGTAATTTGGGAAGGAACGCAGACTTTGGTAATTTTCAGTCTACCTGTAGACAGACTGGCAATAAATACTTTTGAAGAGGCAGCTCTAGTTCTGTGTGCGGGTTAGGGTATGTGCTGATGAACAAAATGAAGATTCTGTCTCAAATACTGTTCATGCAAGTTAGGTTTTCAAAAGTAGGTTCTATAGTGCCACAAAAATAAGTGAGGATAGTCTTGAAATTCCAGGTATAAATCAAATTTGCTTTTAAAATGTGATTTAAAGGTCACAGAGCCTGTGATGGCGAAGCTCTCTTACATGCAGAACTTACAGCAAGATCATGACTGCAGCAAAGTGTTACTTGTTGGTTAGGTTAAAAAAAAAACAATCCAACAAACGAACCAACAACAGAAGAACCCCAAACCCTTGGAGCTATTCTAACCTAATGTAGAACTACTTTAGAGCAGTGTTAGAAATGATTTCTTACGGCAGTAACTTGGGCAGTTGTCCCCTCACTGCGTGTGTGCGCCCTGCACTGCCTCCTTCCTCGGGCTTCCTCTTAAAAGGGGTTTTTGAAGGTGAATGGTGAAGTTGATTAGGGAAAACCTCTTGTCCTCCCTCTGGGTTGTCGTTTAATCTGTATCTGTTCCCCTATCCTGTAAAACGTGCCTGGTGTTGAGTGATACTTGTGCCAACATCGATGCGGAGGGTAAAGAGTTTAAGGATGGGAGCGACCGCATTGGCTCTTCCAAGCAATGCTGCTGTTAAACATCTCATCCCAGCCTCAGAAGGGGCTTTTCTGATGTTTATTTCATACGCACGGCATACAACAACTCGCATTGCTCTAAAAATGCATATTCTGGTATATTTAAGCCACAGGGAAAAAAATGGAAAATGTCTACAGAAAAACTTATTAAGCTTACAATCTGATTTTCAAAATGCAAGGAAAATGTGTAGGTAGATTTCTATTCCCCGCCTCCCCCAAGTTTATTAACAGAATTTGTATGGAATGCTCTAGAGGGGGGGAAAATCCCCACATAATAGAACATCTAGAAAACTATTTGATTCTGGTATAAATGAATAGTAATTTTAATCCCACACGCTAAATATTACTTAACTTTAAGATTTCATGGGTTTTTTTAAAAAAACAATGCCTAAAATTAGAAATCCTGGCATGATTAATCCTGTAGTTTTTAAATATAAGTACACGTGTCATTGTATTGTCAAGCTGCTTATATTCCCACAGCTAAGATGGGTAAAAATGTGGTGAACGTGTTGTTTGATCTAAACAGTGTTTTGGCATGGCTTGTCTTTTCATTTTAGTCCTTTGCTGCACTTCGCTGTGGGTCTGACTGTGAATTTTTCAGTGCTGCTTTGACGTTTATGCACATGTATTTGTAAGAAGATTGTTTGTTATTTTGCAGGCCCACCTTCAACCCTCCCTCTAAGCACTCAAACCTCTAGTGGCAGCAGCTCCCCTCTTTCCAAGAAGAGACCACCTCCCCCACCCCCAGGACACAAAAGAACCCTCTCTGACCCACCAAGCCCACTACCTCATGGACCCCAGAATAAGGGCCCAATTCCTTGGGGTGAGTTTTGAAATGCAAAACAAAAGGGCAGGGGAAAACCTTTATGATGGATGATTTATGATCTTTGGTTTCTTTTTACCTGGTGCTTGCTTTCCAATGATTGCAGCTTCTCGTAACGTCAGCTCAGATAAATCAGCAGTTCTATCTTCTGTCACTCTCTAGCTTC